TATGTTACGGGTGAAGTACAAAAACGGTTAGTGTACATATTACCCGGGTAATGTGAACCTCATTCATACGAACAGTGTAATGTATACATTATCCAACTTAAATATGTAGTATCCAATCAATTTATACATTATCCGGTGTGCTGTGGATAATGTATTCGTATAACTATAATCGTAAACTTATAACTTCGGTACAACATAACCAACGCATCAAACACTTAACATGGTACGGATTATACAAAGTCTTTCTAGTAGCAAAAACCAAATTATACTAATTCAAAAAAAATTATTTATTATTATTACTATTAAACTATAAATTATATATTTGAACAATTTTACTATTTACTTAATTAAAATTTAAAAGTGAAATACAATTATTTATTAGAACAATTTGAGTTTGGATGACATTTAGAATTACAAAGTATTCCCCCGGATTTGCATTTACATTTATTTGTTAAACATTTAGTTTTACATAAACACTTCTTAAAACCTTGACCACCGGAAAAAGATTGTTCATTAGCTATTTCACGCAAAGATTTTTTTGTGGCTAAAACTTCTAAAATATCTATTAATGGTTCAGAGCATACAGTGAATTGATTTCTGGAATAAAGTTGATGAAGAGTGCCATTTTTATTACCGAGTTCGTAATATTGATTATCACTTATAGACACAACCGCAAAGAGTACATTCTGTGGATCACCCTTACTTCTGTCTACTTCTGGTAGTTTGACTCTAACTGTGTCGCCAACATTGCATGGTGGGAATTTGTTGATGGATCTGAACTTCATTTTTTTTGCTTGTTGCTCAAGCGATAATTTTGAATTGCTTCTCTCATTTTCTATGGTGTTCTGAAACATTTTTAATACAAATAAATAACATTTTTTCCTAAATAAAACTTGTTTTGTAATAATTACTTTTTTATCACATAAACCACAAATAGATGTTTGTTCATTACCAAGAGTACAGCCACACGATTCACAGCAATTAGATACAGTACTGTCCTGTTAAGAAAAAAAGTAGAAGTGATTAAATCTGGTATAACGACTATAATATTGCCAACAATTTACCTCTTTATCGGAAACACTATGATTTTCTCTTTGTTCATAGTTTGACACGACACTTTGCAATATTTCTTCCAATTCTTGTTCAGTGGTTAATTTTTCCACTGTTTCAGCTGGTAGTAAAGATGATGACAAACCAATTTTCACATCAGTACCAAACATGGCCATGTATGGAGATCTTTTAATGCCATCGTGATAGGCCCTATTTTTCATTAGCTGTACAAATCGAAGTCCCTCTGACCATGTTTTACAGTTATTTGTTTTCATCCATGTTATCAACATATTTTGTATGTCTTGGTTTGCTCTCTCGACACTTCCTTGTGACTGACTGTGGCGTGGCTTTCCGTGAACGATTTTCAGTGTGTCCCACATTTCTTTTAAGTCTTCTATTATTTTATTCACAAACTCGTGGCCATTGTCAGATTGTAATATCATCGGAGCTCCGAAAATACAAAATATGTCGATAAGGTGTTTTGCGACTTCTTCTGCTCTCTTTGTTTTTAAGGGTCTTAGTTGAACGAATTTAGTAAGGTGATCCTGATATACCATAATAAACCGGAATTCTCCATCCCCCTGCGACTGCATATCAATCAGGTCCACTTGGCACCTACTATTCATTTCCGAAAACACCATTGGTTTAATCACTAGACCCTTGTTTTTAGATTTTTGTTTAGATTGACACGATTCGCAAAACTTTAAGTAAATAGACACCGCTTCTTGTGTTATATTTTTATACTTTTTTTTAACTTCAGCATTCATGCGGTGTTTTCCACCATGCCCAATACTCAAATGTACATCGTGTAGCACATCATAGATATTTTCATTAGTAATATAGTACAAAATGTTTGTATTACCTTCCAACAACGGCAATATTAATTTATCTTCTTCTCCAATAGTAATGAGGTCGTATCTTTTCAAAATTCGATATGCCTTGTTACTTTTTATTCCACTTGATCTCACATTTTTAATTTCCGAAACTATTTCGTTATACTTAACTGCCGATAAATAAACTGAATTATTATTTTTTTCATTAACTATTTTATAAAAACACTCATAAAATTTTTCGCGTGAAGTCATTTTAAAAACCTATATTATATGTACGACGCGTGTATTAAGACGAACTAGCACCTTACTAAATATTATTGCGTGTGTTTCTTCATAAACATTTATCTACAATCGTTATTTTATCGTAGGTATACATTTTATCAAAGTACTTTACCCACTCAGTCGTAGATAATGTGTAAAATACCCGAGTAAAGTACGAAATAAATAAGTATTTTTACTTTATCCAATAGGTACAGGTAGTGTACACATTACCCGGATAATGTGAACACTAACCATATTTTGTACTTTACCCGTAACATATATATATATATATATATATATATACAGTGTGTTTCCTTTTAAAGGTAACACTAAATAATTCTGTCCAGTGACATCGAATTAATATGCGGTTTACAGGAGGGGATAGGGAATACATAAATACACATTTCTTAATGATTTTTACATTTTTAGATCTTTCCGTGTGCGCGTGCGCATGCGCAATACAACTTGCATTTTTTTAAATGGCAACAGGTGTTTTGAAAACCAAATTCGGATAGATCAAATTTTTTTAAGTCGATTTGGTCCTTTTTACCATAGCTCTAAAATCAAAATTGACTAAATGGCAACCAGTCAATAAGTTTCGATTAAAATTATTGAATTTTTCACCAATCATACTAGAATTTTATGAATTATTATGAAATGTTATTTATTATTTTTGTATCCGTAGGTTTGCAGATATTATTAAATCATTTAAATTTAATTTTGAGGAATTAATTAACCTCAATTAGACGTAAATGTTAGATCAATTACTAAGTAAGAAAAGATTAAACTAATTAACACAATTTTTTTACAATTTCAATCATTTCTATTATTTAGGAAACACACTGTATATCATTATTCTCGAGTATTGAATTATCATAAATTTAATTTATGTTAATTTCTTCTGCTTACTCTAACGGTTATTTCAACCCCGTCAAACAACTGGCTAATTAAATTGACCTACTTCTTAAAAGTACCTACCTATATACATTTTGCTTCAATTTCAAATTAAGGACAGATTTTCCCCTGATAAATTATCTGTTGTTAATAAAGTTATATATTTAATACTAATGTGTCTTTTATTTGCTTCACTTGATACACACATCTAACCAATAAGGTTGTTTATTGGATTAAGAATTAAGATTGTACAGCTATTATAGAGCTTTTGTTATGTCGCTTAGAGTATTCAACATTTTAGAATAAGGTGCTCTGATAACTATGAATAATATGAATGGGTTTATTTTAGAACAGTTTTCAAAACATACAATAGTTTTATATAAAATCGATTGATATTATAGGACTTACAATTCCTATAATTTATTTTATAATTTTTAAGTTGTAAAATCGTATTGTGTTTGCATTGTTTACCTGATGACCATTCATATCGAAAAATTCATTGTTTTTTTTTATTCATGTCAAATAGTTAAGCCCGTAATACATATTTTTAACTGGTTAAATTTGAACGTGTTCTAAAGCGTACTAATTTATTTTTTAATTTAAAAATTAAATTTACTTAACTATTATACATTTATCCATCGAAAAAGTGGTTAACATTATAAATATTGAGCCTAGCTACCGTTTAACTAATTTTTAAGTTATTGAACATCCATTGTTTTTTGGGTGTTTGTAATTTTAAAGCTTTTGTTCACTCTATTTTATTTTCCACTTCAATGATTTATTCCTAACCATCGAACGTGGTCTGTCTGATTACATACACGTCTTGCCCTCTCCGCTTAAATCACACTTACCAAAAGAGAAATGAAATAGAACGTTTCAGTTCAAGATTTTATTCGGTTGTTTGCCAATTTGCCAAGTATACAATTAGTTATCCAGTCTCCGGACTTTAATAGTATTTTTAGGAAGGTATAGTAAATAAATATCATGCGGCCATATAAAGAGACGTATAATAATATGAATATAATACAATATGTTCAAAAATACATTTTGTAGTTACAATGCATAAGGCTACCTATCAGTAATCAGTTATTATTGGTAAATTATTTATATAAATGATCCTAATACGATTATATGTTATGACTCAGTGGCGTGGCAAACGGTAATTTCAGAGGCCTTGGCCTCTGAAATTTTTCTTAAATAGAGGGGTGGGTGGTAGCCAGTGGGTCCCCTAGTAAATTATTTTTTTTTTTTTTAATATTTATTGTAAAGAAAACATTTATAATACAAGTAAATAATAACATTAAGATTAAATTTTACAATAAATTATCTACCTCCCTTAAGCATATGCTTGTGATGGAGGTAGAGAGTTACATTATATAATAATAGACACAAATATATATAGGTACACTATTAAATGTTTAATTAAATCTAAGATTGATATATTTAGAACAAGAAAAAGTATGTGAAATAAATTTAAAAAATGTTGCAATTTAAACTTTATACACTTAATGAAGAAAATAACCATAAGTTAATTTGCTCTTTTATACTTGCAATTTTAAGATTCCCAGTTGTAGAGTAAATGATTTTTTTTTAAATGTAGTGGCATTAAATTAAAATATTTCAGACCTAAATAATTAATACATTTTTGGCCAAATGCTTTTTTGTAATAAGTTATATTCACATCAAAAGCTCTTACTTCTCTTTTTTTCCCTATATTATCCATATCTACAAATGTTTCATAATTTTGTATTACATGTAGAATAGTTACCTTCTTATACACACTCTCGAATGGCAACACTTTAAACAGTTTAAAATTATCTCCCGTAGATCCTACTAAGTTATTTTTGCATAAACAGATCCTAATAATCTTTCTTTGTAATATTTTTAAAATTGAATACGATATTCTCAATAGGTAGGTAGTCAATAACGATCTGAAATATAACTTGTTATATTACATTTATACATTATTATGCATAAATACTCGGGATATTTGTAACTGGCCCCTGAAAAATGTTTAGTTCGCCACGCTACTGTGTTATGTATAGGGCACGGATGATTGTTGCATTTGCAACTTTTTTTCTACTTTTTCAATTAATTGCTAAGTAAGTTTTAAATACGTTTCATGTAAGTACGAATTCAAATCTAAAAGTTTTAAGTGCAATTTTTTGCAATTTTTGGGATTTTTTCAATTTTATTGCAATTTTGTCGAATTTACTCATTTATACAACTATTTTAGCAATATTAAAACTTATATATGACTTAAAACCATTATTAAAATCAATGATATACTAACTGGACAAAGAAAATCATTCGATGGTTTACCCGAAGACTTAACAGTAAGCGATTTATCTTATTTTAAATACGCTCAGCTTACATCAACCGACGTAGAATGAAGTTTTTCGAGATATAAGAACTTACTAGCTCCAAATCGAAGAGGGTTTGATTTCGAAAATTTAAAACAAACACTTATAGTACAGTGCAATGATGTATAATATAATAAATTTATAATGACATGATTATAATGTAATGTATATATTTTTTTTTGAATTATTTAGAATTTTAGATTATAATTTATAACAGTAAACTTAAAACATTTATAACAAAACGTTGTTATTTTTTAGTGCAATTTTTAATATTTTTAGTGCAATTTTTGGTATTTTTTAGTGCAATACTGCAATCAATTTTACTATTTTTTTAGTACTACAACATCCGTGCCCTAGTTATGTATATGCTGAACTGTAGTTCACCACCAATCAGATGATTAATATTATAATGTCAGTACATAAATAATACATTTATAGAAATATTATACAAGTTTATGATCATTCAATTATTTCAACTGATGTAATGGTGAATGATGTAGTTTAAATAATTGTTTGACGTAGTTATTACCTACCTATATATTACAATTGTTTAGGTACACTATTTTAGTTTAGAAAAACGAATGTGTTTTTTTTACTGTGTAATAAGTAAACACGTCAGTAAGCGATGATTGATTAGATGTAGGTTAAAGTTTTATACTTATCTGTTAAAGTTAAATAATTTAAATATTTAATCGTAACATTAAGAAATCTGTAATCAGAAAATATGAGTTCAGTACATTATTTTAATAAAAGAGATGTTTTTATAGTAAAGTTTATACACTTAAGTCGATTTGCATTGAAACTTTAAGACTTATTATTATTATTAATCAAGTCTTTTTAATTAAATTAAAAAATTGAATTTCTGTGTTTTAATAGCAGGTATAGAATTTGTAAATTTAATTATAATTACTGTTTATCTTATATAGGCGCCTAACTTATACTATCTGGCTATCATAATATAATACATAACGATATTAAATTATTGAGATCTTTTTTTATTTTCATTGTTTGTCATAATTTTGTTAAACTTTTATCCAATCACTTATGTTCGCATCGTGTTTGTATTAGGTATACCAAGGTGACACGAGGTTACTTTACACAAAATCATCTACTGGGTTTCGTGTATTCATAAATGTTTTTGAGCACACACAAACGGGACAACTGCGGACCACACGTGGGGAATTAAAACAATAGCTCATAAAATACAATTATATTATCAGTACATTTTTATCACAGTCTACAAAAGACTGCCTAGCAGTGGCGCAACTAGCACAAAACCTTAGGGGGGGACTATAGCCCCACGTCAATATTATACCAAAGGTAACACGTGGGGGGCCATGCCCCCCACACCCCCGATTCATCATCTTAAAATTTAAACACCATTAATATCAACATTTACTTTTAATTATATATTTTATTTATATGCATCATAAAAAAGGTGGGCAAGTGGGTGTCGCTCTGCTGTACAGTAGGTTACAAGTGGGTCACTGTATAATGGATGATATTAAATTTGAATTCAACGATATAATATCATTGTATAAGAAAAACAATTCTGAGCGCAGACGGTATGTCAGTCTATGTATAAGACATATTATATACATATCTATGGTATTAAACAAAAATTGACCTATAATGGGTACCTATAATAAATTCCAAATTAATCATATCAAAATATCCATTAGGTACTTATAACGCGTTATACATCAACAAAAACCGTGATACTATCATAGATAT